TAAGTTTTGTGTACATTGATCAATCGGAAGGGGTGCTAATTGGGATTGTTCACTAGCCAATTTGTTAGCAAATATCGCCGTGGGCGCTTATTAGAACGGGGCGCTTATTACGTGGAATACGGTAGCTTCTAAACGACTTTGTTACATGTCACATTATTTCTTTAAAAAATAATATTACATCTTTATGTAATTATTGTATTATGTAAATATATTACATCTGTGATGGTTTTATTCAATTATGACAAATGGTTTTGGAGTTATGTTACAGTTTATCGATTGCTTTTTGCTGCAGTAGCTCTGTAGGTTAATCAAGTTGTAGTCTTTGTATGTAGGGCAACCTGCGCTGTCTGTGTGACCAAGGTGATGCTCTTGGGACTACCACACTGCACATCACTGCACATTTTGTATACTGTTATCTTAAATTCAGATGCTGACCTAATTAAGTATCTAATGACAAGGTAGTATGCATGGTCGACTTTTTTTTACGATTATTACAATGTCTTGTCTGATGAAGCAAGAGATGGATAATGGTGTTAGAATCTCCATAGAAACGCAAACACAAATGGAATGAAATAGTTGATCATCCATACCGTCTTATCATTGGTTACATAGGTTCAAGTGAATAATGCCACTGAAACATGTGTGACCCTAATGTTTTTCCGTGTCAAAGTTAATCATTACGCTTCTGGGGCGGTTGGGTAGCCTAGTGGTTAAAGCATTTGCTCGTCAGGCCGAAGACCCGGGTTCGATTCCCGACATGGGTACAATGTGTGAAGCCCATTTCTGGTGTCCCCCGCTGTGATATTGTGGAATATTGCTAAAAGCGGTGTAAAACCATATTCACTTCATATTACACTTCTCCAAAGTAGGTGATCATTTGAGTGCCATTCTAAATGGAACATACATGTACCATATCACATTCATAACAAATCTAATGAATCCTGTGCAGAATTATAGTCAAATATATAAAGATCTTGGAAGTTAATGGGTGAAATAATTAATCGACTAGATTACGAGATTGAACTATCTACTCGTATACTAGATTGAACTATCTACTCGTATACTAGATTGAACTATCTACCTGTATAGATTGCACTATCTACTCGTATACTAGATTGAACTATCTACCCGTATAGATTGAACTATCTACTCGTATACTAGATTGAACTATCTACCCGTATCGATTGAACTATCTACTCGTACACTAGATTGAACTATCTACTCGTACACTAGATTGAACTATCTACTCGTATACTAGATTGAACTATCTACTCGTACACTAGATTGAACTAATAAACCATTTGGTTATGTTAACAACTTTAATTTGTAAGTTATCACATCAGCTTCTTATGAGAATATTGAGTTTTCTCAATTTACAGTTAAGTTTGCACAATATTAATTTATAGAAAATAAAAGTACAATACCCAGCATCAGTCATTACCACATTAATCATTGATCTCAGAATAAGTTGTGCTGTATGTAGCAGTCTGGTTAATACCAAAGGGCACACAATGGCGAATATGTCACAATTTGTATAATGTACAGATTTCTGAAGTGTTTTGGTTTTATATAAAAGAAGTAAAAAAATATGCTTAAAGCAAAATGAACTTTGAACTTATTAAATAACACCCAAAATGAGACACAGAATCAACATGAAAAAGATGTGTTTTTATGATTTAATTATATCCTGTTGATAGTGTTGAAACAGAAGTGAAAATGTTTTCATAACAAGAGATTAGTATGTCTTATTCGGTGAAAACATTTTGCCATTTTCTGAACAATGACCTGATTATGAGAGATGTGCACTGGAGATGCGTCATTAAGACATGTACAGAAATTGGGCTGACTAGTAGTTGCTTCCAAACTGCTAAATGATGTACCTTGATGTAGTCATACATTACACCTGGTTGAATTATTTATGCGGCTATTAAAGCCTATGAAATACAATGAAAGTCTTTTCCTTCATTTATTTTTAAGTCTTATTTTCTCTTGAGGTCAAATGGCCAAATGGAGTATGATCGTGACTAGTCCATTTCACCACTTGGGTAACAAGCATTGGATGGTTGGAGAATTCAGTCATGGCTTTTGTAATGTTGGGGTAGCTGACTCATGGGCTGAGACCATGAGAATTGGGTGTAAGGAGTGTAGGATTGTGTGTAAACTAAGCCGAACAGTGTGGAAGGTTGCTCATGCTGTCAACCACTGGTTATTTACAAACCTGTACTGTTGTTGACAATGATCATTCTCTGACCAACCCGTGAAGATCCGGGGCAGAATAGATTTTCAGCAACCCATGCTTGCCTTAAAAGGCGACTATGCTTGTCGTAAGAGGCGACCAACGGGATTGGCTGGTCAGGCTTGCTGACTTGGTTGATGCATGTCATCAATCCCAATTGTGTGGATCGATGCTCATGATGTCAATCATTGGATTGTCTGGTCCAGACTCGATTATTTACAGACCAGGGTCATATAGCTGTAATATTGCTGAGTGCGGTGTTAAACAACAAACAAATATTCTCTGACCAAAATACCAAGAGCCCATCCATACCAAACTTAAGTATCTGAATTTTCATCATCAAATTATTTTCCAGTGATATCCAATACGTGATTCCAAGTCAACCCAATTTCCAGTGATATACGAGATCCCACCTACAAATACAAACGTCACAACAAAGGTTATTGAAATATGCTGTCCAACTACCCGATCCGATAACAGAAATATGAAAATGTTAATTATCATGGTCGTAGTATATCATATCAGCCTTCACATAGTGTCAGTAGCGATCACTTCCTGGTTCTTGCCTCAGGCAGGCCCTGTTAAGCTCTGCCCGATCTTGTCCACCATACTGTTATGTTTGTAACCAAGGTAATATCGTTTATCATGTCATATGGGCAGTTTCCCCGATCTTCCCGCTGTTTGATGACAAATATTTAGGTAGTTAATGTTTTGGCTATTGCTATTGTTACTGTAGGCTATACAATTCACTGTTTGCTTTGTGACGTTGGTGTTGCTGGCCCACTGGAGGGAGGGGTTGGAGGGAGGGAGGGGTCATCACCTGGACAAGTGCCGCAACAGTTCATTACCTGGCGCTACCATGTGTGCAGTGTAATTACATTCCTCCATGGGCACTCATCCAGAACGCTTGTATCCCAGGAAGCTTTCATCATCTATTATTATCACCTTATTATGATCCTCCATTCTCCTGTGCCCTTTCGTGAGCAGCTACAATTGAATATCATATCCAAGTCGGAAACCCGATGTTAACATTGTATATAATACACATTTCATAGAGAGTCAACAATAGGGGATTTTGCCAAACTGGGGCAGAAATACTTGTCTGTTTCGGGGAGGTACAATAGTAATAATAGCATAACACTGTGGCCACTCTTTGGCTGGGGTCAACAACTGTATGGTGTGGCTGGTGCTATATGATGTCTTACACCTCGCTACTCACAGCGTAATATGGGTTGCGTAACTATTGTCATTACCTTGGAGGATGGAGATGAAGCTATGTCCATATTGTGACCTATGGATGGCCATGTCATGACTACAAAGGAAAGGATTAAGAAGTGTTGGGAGGACATTGTGGGCATATCTACTGTTGATTGATTTCTTGTGAAGAGCTTGTTGAACATAGAGTAGCTACGGGTTATAATTGAGTTGATTGTCAATAACAAATTGATCATGTTGATGGTTGGCAATTATTGAAGTTCTGGTCAGTATTCAGATGGATTGTTGCCAGTATTTAACTTTTGGTTAATCCCTCAGCATCAAGAATGTGTGTGGGTAAAGTTTCAAATTTCTTGTTGTTTCAGTAATAACTGTAAAATTGTTACAAGGTGCTTTTCATATGCAGTATTTGAAATAATAAATTTAAACAATTGGGATGAAAAATTGAACGTTTATACATGATAAAAAGCTTAATTGGCTACTGATAACCAAACCCTTGAAGATCCGGGGTAGAATAGGTCTTCAGCAACCCATGCTTGCCGTAAAAGGCATCTGTGCTTGTCGTGAGAGGCGACATAACAGGATCGGGTGGTCAGGCTGTCTGACAAACAAACAAACAAACTGATAACCATATATTGAAAATATCCTAAACTGCTGAAGCGGCGAAAATGGGATGTATTTGAGGCAAAAACAACCAAACTAAAAAGTTTTCTTCAAAAACATAAACCCATTTTATTTCTTTCCCTTAGACCCTGACATCAAACATAGCGTCATGAAATGAGATCTTTTGACAATTCAACATTTTCAAGTTGAATGCAAATTTAATTTGTTGTTTTTTGTAACTAAAATAATAATTGAGTATCAAGTTATTTTCATTACTCTCGCAATCACAATTTGAAGTGGTCTTGTGAGGAGATTATTTTCATCCATCTATATTGATTGTTGTTGCTAAGCAAACATGTAAGAGGTGATATTACAGTCGAGAGTTTCTATCTGAGGGACTTAAATAATATTCATCATGGCATAAATTAACCTGTATGTGTGTCATCCAGCTGCCGATCTACCCACATGAAGTTGAGGGATGCTTATTCAATGACGAGGGACTCTGAGTTATATGTGTAGGAGACAGTTGTGTTGTGAACTTTAAAGTGGTTTATTGTTAAATTTGTCATGTCAACTTTCACAGCACGAAAATCCCATGTCAAAGACCTTTATAACCAGGCTAGTGTTTATTATAGCCTGCTGGTAACCACAAGGCTTACTGCTGTGTCTACAAGACTTAATTGAGACATTTGTAGATTTATGGCGATCAAACAGAAGAAAGCCAGGTGAGATGGGGTGGTGAAAACACTATTATTAGCAATTTGTTTTTCATGAAATGTAGTATTTTCTTTGGCAAGGTAATAATTAATGTGTCGTGATTTTGTCACTCGTGTTATCCATCAGCTTGGGATGATAATGACAATAATTCCCTGTCCGCCCCACTGCTTGACACCCCTCAACCGAAGTAGAATCTTCCAGTCTAAATTTACCGTAGGACATACCTTCTGGTGGCAATCAGGCTGGTGAAAGCAAGCTCTGCTATAGGTTGGACTTACTCTCAGTGTTAGAATGGGATGAGAGAACAAGCTGAGAGGATGTTAAGATGGATAATGCCAAGAATAGACAGTGTATTGGATGATCATTATGGAGCGTGTTGTTTGATATGATGTGCTTCATTGACTTGTGATGGGCACAATAGCAGCATTGCTTGGGATGAGCACTCCGGAAAGCTTTTGGATCTGTTTCACTAGCCACTACTCATTTCACAATTGTTAACAGTGTTGTGTGTTCATCCAGGTTCTTGCAAACAGGTGCTTTCCAGGTTGTCTGCTTCTAGTGCTTTTATTATGAATCCTACCTTAATGCACCAGAGTGTTTTTGGCTTGAATGTTTTCAAATCAGTTTGCATTATCATGTCAGCCAAAGCCATTTACTTTGTAGTAATTGGAATTGATCAAGGCACTATTTAGAGTCCAAACGTGTATAATTTGCCAAATATACAAGATTTTTCCATTGTCAAAAATTAAGTGCCTTGGTGAACTGTGATATGATCTAGAGACCATTGAAATGCTTGTCAAAATTAGTGGATTTATGTTCTAGATATCATTAATGGGAAGAAAGACTTGTGTTATTTGAGCTGTTTGGGTGAAGTTAAGGAGGTTTTCAGGTGCATTAAGTGATAGGTGTTGATAGGGGCAACTGAGGTCGACAGTTATTCAAATAGCCCTTGGACAGGGCAGTGTTAACAGTGCCTTAGGTCTTGTTCCTGTGCTTCCAAGTTACAGAGATTTTTTTGACTGCCAAAAGTACTTTAGCCCGCCATTAGGAAGCTTTACAGTGGACTTGCCAGAGACTGACAGCAGTTGTGTTGTCTTGTGAACCATATTTGCTTTAAATGAGCCACATTGATCCAATCAAAGGATATTAATGTGTTACCAGTTTGTATCCAACAGTAATTCCAAATAGGCTGAAAATTTCTACATAACAACAGATTTGAAACAAAATCTGGCATGAGAAACATTCAGGATATATGACAAGAGGATCCTTCCATCCAGTGGTGTGTCTTCAATATACACGGCTTCATTATGGAATGTGTGATGCAGCTCTAGCTGTGACATCAAACCTCACGCCCCCTGATGCAGCCTAAAGTGTCCGCGTTTTGCCCTGATGACACTCCACGTTGCAGGTGTTGATCCAGACACCCATGCACACCTGACTTACCTGCTGTTGAAGCAGTTGCCCCACCTGTCCCCCGCGAACCTGCCCCCTCACGCCTATACGCTGGCACACACAGGCAGGGGTAAGGGATATGGTCCTCCGCTACCCCCGCTGATTGCCCTGGGGAAAGGGGCGCCATCATCGTCATCATCTTCACGAGTGACATCGGTTTCATCATCCAGTGGAAGTTTTGTACGGGAGCGATTAGATGAGATTCTTGTAGTCCGAGGGTAAGATTTGGTCAATTTAAATGTTATATAGTCAGGGAACAGTAAACACTCTCCTTACTATATAGAACAGTAAATCTTCCCCCAATTATATTCAATGAAATTTTGTTCACAGAATTATTGCTAAAGTGACAGTAACGATGTACATCTGGAAACCTTCAAACAGTTTGTAGTTTCAACAAACTCGCCCTTCTACATCTACCGGTATTTATATGAAAAGTAGAAAAAGGTCTTTCCGTATGATATGATATGAAATTCATCCACTTTTTATTGCTATCTATATTAATTCGAAGGAAAATGGCAATAAGATGGGCTTCACATTTAGTATATTGTTGTGATGTAGGGTAAACACATGTAAACCATGCTGTCATTTGTCATAATCTAAGCAAATGGTGGGGAAGAAGAAACCAAATGCTTCAGTGTTCCATCATAAGTTAACGTTAGACACAGACAGTAATAATCTAGTCTAGCCCTCTGTCCGTCAGTGTATGAAATATCTGAGTGTGTGAGTGACGATGCAAACCAGCATCTGTCACATGGAATAGTACTTACCAACAGCACATTATTACAGCAAATAACACTGACATGATGGCAGTCATATCAACTTACAAGATGAAATTGGGACAAAATTATATTGTTTTTCAGATTTCACAAATTAAGTCAATCATTATGTAAATTATTTTGGAAATATATCTATGAAGACAGTAGGATATTTAAAAGTTACTATGTCTCTAAAATATCACAGTCAAAGGGAATGGTATATTGAATGCTGCGTGCCTTAGCAGTGTAAACTCCACCAACACCAACACCCACTGTCGAATCTGATGCATAGGCGTGATAACTTACCTATTTTCAAGATCATGTGTGCCATTTAATAATATAGAATAGCCAGATGGGCACTAGCACATGTGTTTGCATATTTCATCCTAGAATTTAGAAAATTGCAAAAAGAAAAAAACAAGACATGCTAAACATGCTAAAACACATATCTGAATGATAATCAGAAAATATCTTAGGATTTATTGCTCCTGATTGGAACATATTCTGGACTGTCTAGATTATTTGCTTGGTATTTTTGCTGTATTTGTTCAATAAGAATTTGTCACCTGTCCTGGAGACAGGTGAGCAGTTCTAAATAAATTAATAAATAATGTATGAATATAGCACTGCTAAGAATGTGTATGTATCTTTGTTCAAAGGGCATTAAGTTGTTAAAACACCATTGTTGAAGTCTTTGATGTCTTTTGTGACTCCAATTACATAGCAATGTTTTAGTTTCACAAAAGGCACTTATTACAACTTTTAGGCCAGTCTAAAATGGTTGGGGGGGGGGGGGGAGGCACGGTTGGCCCAGTCGTCTTCAGCGCCGCAATTCGCTGTGCAGAGTTGCATCCCTTGGGCACGCCAGAAACCTACAATTGTGGGTTCAAATCCTGGTTCGCCCCGATTATGTTTCTCGGTTTTGTCAGCACCATACGCATGCTCATGGGTTTCACCGAAGTGGTAAACTTCTAAGACCTGAATCACTTCAGGCTTTCCTCCCACATTAAGCTGACACGGCGCGATATAACTGGAATACTGTTAAAAGCAGTGTTAAACACAACTCACTCACTGTTTTTAATGTCCATCAAACATTGAAAGAAGTATTAAGAAATTTTAGATGTCTGTACAAATGAAATTGGATTAATCATGTTCCTATGTTTATGATACCAAAATACCAATATTATGTAAAATTATCAGCGTTTTGATGGAACTGAGACTTTCACCGTGACATTTATTTTACATTAAGATATGTCCTGATGTTGTCTTCGGATGCAGAGCAAGTCGAAATGGTTACCAAACGAGAATTCCATCTCAGATGAAATTGATTCCCACACGGAATAAAATAGTTTGAATGCTCACTGCACCACATGGAAAATGGAATTCTATTTAAGTCCCGTTGTATTGATAAACCACTAGCAATATGTTTTCAGTGTTTCACAAGAGCGTGTAAAGAATCTCATTTTGATTATTGAACCAGCTGAGAAGTCACTGCATGCCGCAACCTGCCCTCTGTTTAGTGTCGCTGGAAGGATATGAAGTTACGCATTAGTGTTGACCTGATGATGTAAATATGGAAGATAAGCTGTGTCAACATGGTGCCCACATTGAGAGACTTGTATGTCCAAGGTTGAATTATTTCCCCAACATACACAAGGTTGATTCATCTATCAAACATATGCAACACTGAATTATTCAGTTGACACATCAGACTTCTAATTGTCCACCCAGGTTTCTACCCAGGAAAACCAGTATTGAATCATCCAACAAACATACCAAACATTGAATCATCCTCCCAACTTACTGGTACCCAACACTGGATCATCCACCAAACATAATGGTACCCAACATTGAATCATCCACCCAACATTGAATCATCCACCAAACTTACTGGCACCCAACATTGAATCATCCACCCAACATTGAATCATCCACCAAACTTACTGGCACCCAACATTGAATCATCCACCCAACATTGAATCATCCACCAAACAATGAATCATCCACCCAACTTTGCACCCAACATTGAATCATCCACCCAACATTGAATCATCCACCCAACTAACTGGCACCCAACAATGAATCACCCACCCAACATATCTGCACCCAACATTGAATCATCCACCCAACATTGAATCATCCACCAAACAATGAATCATCCACCCAACTTTGCACCCAACATTGAATTATCCACCCAACATATCGGCACCCAACATTGAATCATCCACCCAACATATCTCCACCCAACATTGAATCATCCACCCAACATTGAATCATCCACCAAACAATGAATCATCCACCCAACTTTGCACCCAACATTGAATTATCCACCCAACATATCGGCACCCTACATTGAATCATCCACCCAACATTGAATCATCCACCCAACATATCCGCACCCTACATGGAATAATCCACCCAACATTGAATCATCCACCCAACATTGAATCATCCACCAAATACACCGGTACTCAACACTGAATCATCCAGTTGGGAAGTCTGCAAACAGTCATAAATACACATATTCTTTATAGGTTTGCAAACGTGCTTGATCTCCTGACTTTATCATATGTTGCTTCACTTCATTGTGTGTTTATGAATTTTGTGGGGGACTTTTTGCCTGCCGTGTTGGTTTGCAGCATCCTGGTTTATGTGTGTTTAGTCCAGGTTGCCATGGGAAAGCTGGCCCAACAATCACTGGTAACACTTTTGTTGGACTGGATTCAGTCGTGATACAAGTACACATTTTGTGAGCCATGCCTCCTGACTGAGATCCGTGGATTAATTACAACAAGGTCATTAGTTAATCTTATTTAATGGAACAGGTAAAATGTGGAGATGATGGAATCAAGCATGGCGTGTTAATAACAGGTGTGGCGCCCATGTTGAGCTGCTGGCCTTGAGGCTCGATATGTGATCACTTTTTCACTTCAGTAATGTAATAAACGTGTGCTTAGAAAGTATAATGGCAGGCCGAGTTTTCCCACCAGATTAGGTTCAATCATGTATTTCAGTTCAATAGAAAGGAAGGATAGAGTGACACTATGCATTAATATGACCTGGGTTAGGAGAGAAACAAGTTCGGAAAAGAGATTTACCATGTAATGAGTAGATGTAAGTTTGCACACACACACCTGTTTGTATGTATAGAAGATTTTGTACATGTTAAGTGTGATATCCCATTTCAAGGAAGAAATATCAGCTCGGTTACTTGCTAACTTGCATTTAAACTTGTATAAGAAACTATGATATGTATTAGGAATAGATATCCAAGCCAGGTTTCATGTTTTTTCTATGCAGATCTTTAATGTAGTGAAACATATTTCTTGATTAAGTACACAGTGATTTCATTTATTAATGGACTTGTGTTATGTTTCCTCCCTGTGGGGAGTTGGTGGTAGAATTGGTATCAAATATCCCAAGCTTGACTTGAGAGCTGACTAGTTGAAGATCAGGTGGTCATAATGTGATATCTTCCTGATTGAGGATCAGGTGGTCACAGTGTGTTATCTGGCTGATTGGGGATCAGGTGGTCACAGTGTGTTACCTGGTTGATTGAGGATCAGTTGATCACAATGTGTTACCTGGCTGATGGAGGATCAGGTGGTCACAGTGTGGTACCTGGCTGATTGAGGATCAGGTGGTCACAGTGTGTTACCTGGCTAATTGGGGATCAGGTGGTCACAGTGTGTTACCGGCCTGATTGAGGATCAGATGGTCAGTGTGTTACCTGGCTGATTGAGGATCAGGTGGTCACAGTGTGTTACCTGGCTGATTGAGGATCAGGTGGTCACAGTGTGTTACCTGGCTGATTGAGGATCAGATGGTCACCATGCATTACCTGGTTGATTGAGGATCAGGTGGTCACAGTGTGTTACCTGGCTGATTGAGGATCAGGTGGTCACAGTGTGTTACCTGGCAGATTGAGGATCAGGTGGTCACAGTGTGTTACCTGGTTGATGGAGGATCAGATGGTCACAGTGTGTTACCAGGCTGATTGAGGATCAGGTGGTCACAATGTGTTACCTGGCTGATTGGGGATCAGGTGGTCAGTGTGTTACCAGGCTGATTGAGGATCAGATGAACACAGTGTGTTACCAGGCTGATTGAGGATCAGGTGGTCACAATGTGTTACCTTGCTGATTGAGGATCAGATGGTCACCATGCATTACCTGGCTGATTGAGGATCAGGTGGTCACAATGTGTTACCTTGCTTATTAGGGATCAGGTGGTCACAATGTGATACCTGGCTTATTGAGGATCAGGTGGTCACAATGTGATACCTTGCTGATTGAGGATCAGGTAGTCACAGTGTGTTACCTGGCTGATTGACGATCAGGTTGACACAGTGTGTCTGTTGGCTTTTGTTTATTATGAAAAGCACAATTCACTTTGATTTGCTGTAAATAATTTTGCTTTAATTAACATACCTTTCTAAGTGATATTAAACCAAACTCACTCAG